CAACCGCGGGCAGTCAAATTACGCCGCAGGCAATACCTTCCAAGACGCACTTGCCGCATACCGTGTTTCGAAAGGCATGCATGCAGCTAGCATCAACCTAGGCAGTGTATCGAACGTGGGCTGGGTAGCCGAGAACCGAAACTCGATGCGCACGCACACAGCCACGTTATTCGAGCTTTTGCGCGAAGAAGAGGTCCACGCAACGGTTGACTTCCTTATCCGCGATCAGCAAGACGGCGGAAATGCATCACCGCGCTCACAGCTCATCCTCGGTCTGCCGACCGCGGAGATGTGTCGCCAGAACGGAGTGCCTTTACCTACGTACCTGAATTACTCGATGTTCACGCACTTCCGTAACACGGCGACAGCGAAGAGCAGTGAGGTGTCTCTGCAGAAGACTGTCAGCACTGCTGCGCTTTTGTCGGCGGCTTCTGGCTTCGAGAGTGCTGTCGTTGTTGTGTCGGATGGGATTGTTGAGAGACTTGCTTCGCTGCTTGCCATTCCTTGTTCCGAACTCGATGCACAGCGCTTTAGCTTTGGCGGCATTGACTCCCTTGTTGCTATGGAGTTTCGCGCGTGGATCATCAAGGAGCTTAAGGCTGAGGTTTCTTTGCTTGATATTATGGGAGCGGAGAATATTAGGGCTTTGAGTGAAAAGATTGCCGGCAGGAGTCGTTTAATTGGAGGGTCTGGTGCTTAATTTTCCGCGTGGTTTACTTATCTTTCTTTTTTTTTACGAATCTTCTGGGGATTATCTTTCGATACTGATTAGCGTTGAGCTCTCGTGGTTTATTGATTTCACGTCTGATGCCCCGTTACGAGATATGATCATTCTGCATCTTTCTCTTAGGACATTTTCCAATCTCTTTTTGGTTCATACACTTTAAGACTAGATTCACTAACAGAATGCCTATGAGCATTTCTACACATTTTACATCGGAAAAGATTTAAAGATTTGATAAATGCGATACTTCAATTTTGTCCACCTGAGTCACTCTTTGCGAATCCATTTCGACTTATTAATAGTAGGAATATGCCATGCTTGCATTAAAGAAAAATAGCTCATCGAAACCCTAAACTTTCCATCCGTTATTCATTATATTCGTCAACACCTACCGTGCAGACCCGGAGGGGAAATAACCCCGTAAGCCCTGTCCAGGAAATGTACAAACAGCCAACTTGGGCTCAGCCCCGGATCGCTCATGATGCCACGCACGCTCACGTAAGGCCAAATAAACCGAGCGGAACGGCTGGAGGTCGCCAGGTAGTCGAGCAGGCGGTTTACGAGGATCGAAGCCCAGCTGCTGAAGTTGCGCCTCACACCAATGCAGGGTGTCCGCCGGTAAATATTGCTCTGTGTCGTAGTCGGTGTGATTCTGTTGCATGGCCTGCAGCGTCGCGATGTCGGCTGCGAGGCCAAAGTTCTCTACGCCCTTGGGCGGGTGGTGGTAGTTCATATAGGGTTTTCCAGGGGCGCGCTCTGGATGGTCTGCTTGTTTGCGAATGTTGTGGATGTTCCAAGTTTGGACGTATGATTTGATATGGGAGCGGAGAGTGGGCATGTAGATTGCGAAGAGGGCAACCTGTTCAGGGATTAATGTTGATGAGAAGAGGCCTTCGTTGTGAAGTTCGCGGAAATAGTTCTAGTTGAGGTCAGTATTCTGCGAATAGGTGTAGGATAAACCTGCCAAAGTTGACTAACATGATACAGTGTTACTACTGATTTAGCAAGCTGGGCCCACCAAGATTCAATCCGGTGGGTATCTGTGGCACGTCCGGGTGCGCAGCATTGCTCACGCAGGACATCCGGCTCAGTGACGCGACGGAGTGCAAAGTGAGCATCGGCTAAAAGGGGAACCTCAGACTCGAGGTCAGATCGAAGAGTCCGTGGTTGGCGATTTTTAGAAGCAACAGTCTCAAGATGGTTTTTGAGGACACCCACGGCCGTGTGCGCATCCACGCCAACATGAATCCAGAGAACATATCGAGAATAAGAATCGAGCTCAGCAAAAATGCGGAACCCGAAATTGGCCAGCTTTGAGTACCCATTCACGTGCCAGGTCAGATTAGGCCCGGCTAGAATCTTTGGCGGGGGAGGACGCCGGGGCACATCACTGGTGCGGCGTTCAACTGTATCCGGGCGCAGCATGCGGTAGACACTATAGAGACGATCGCGGGCAAATACATGCCCCTTGCTTCGGAAGTGGTTGTGCAATAGTTCCTTTCCGTACCCCTCAATGGTCCCCTTGTCCATTTCCTCGGTCAGGGCGTCGAGGATCTCCTGAACCTGTGCTTGTTGTTGTGCAGGCGAGTCGAGGCGGAGACGGATGCCGAGCTGGTGACGAAGTCTGCGGAGTGTGCGGTGGGAGACCTCATAACCCTCATCGTGTAGAACGGTGACGATCTCTTGGTCGGACAAGCCCACGTCGAAGAAAAGATTTTTGATGCGGGCATGAAGCGCTTCATTGGAGGAGTTGTTCTCCATCTTTTTCTTGACGCCCCATAGCTGTAGGCGTTTGGTCAGAGTACGCGACGATATTTGAATATCATGCTGCCTCTTCAGGTGCTTGCAAATGTCGTCACCTTTCATTTTCTTTTCGAACAGGCCGATGATTTCGGCTTTGTACGGCTCAAGATCCACCCGAGGACGACCTGACATTTTACTTGGCGTATCAACTGGATTCTCCATTTTGCGAATTCAGACCAACTAATGTTGATAAGAATTAGCCTGGAGAAGATGTTCGTGGCTGGGGAAATGCGGGCGGTGTGCTGAGACCTACCGGCAGAAATCGACCGCCTTGATTTTTTTGTTATCGCAGCGGTTCTTCTCGAGAAACAACGTCCTCGCTCTGCTCAGTCATTCTCGATATATTTTTCGGTTTAATCTTGTACTACTGATACGGGCTTTACAATGGTCCGTGAACTCAAGCACCATGAGAAGAAGTACGTCCGCACCTATAATTAATTACCCGCGCAGAAATCTCAATCCGATCCCATCCAACATTTTGAAAGCTTCAAGATACCACAAAAGATCAAAAGCTAACACTGAAACCCCTGCAGACTTCTCCGGAAGGTCGACTTCCACAACTACAAGTCAGATGGCAATCACCGCGAACATGAAATTCGGCAACGATACCTTCTCCAAGACCCAATGGACTACCGCAAATACAACGCGCTCTGCGGTTCTCTGCGTCAGCTCGCACACAAGCTCTCCCAGCTAGACCCGGACGCGGACCCGCTGCGCAAGAAGCTCGAATCCGAGTTGCTGGAGAAGCTATGGCGGATGGGAATCCTGAAGCAGTCCCGCGAGCAGGGCGCCGGTTTGTCCAAGGTTGAGCGCGATGTTACAGTTTCCGCATTGTGCCGTCGTAGATTGGCTGTCTTCATGGTGCGCTCTGGCATGGTTGAGACTATCAAGGCTGTAAGTTGCGTGGGGATTTGGTTTGGGGTGGATTTTATGCTGACGATTGTTTCGCTAGGCTACTACTTTCATCGAGCAGGGCCATGTCCGTGTCGGTACGGAGGTCGTCAATGATCCTGCTTTCTTGGTTACCCGCAACATGGAGGACTTCGTCACCTGGGTTGATTCCAGTAAGATCAAGCGCAACATCTTGCGTTACCGTGAGAAGCTGGATGACTTTGATCTTCTATGATCTGCCCCGTTAAAAAAGCATTTTGGGTTTTTGTTCTGATATACCCGGCGCTTGTGCATTGTGGCCTGTTTAGGTTTGGCGTATTGATGTTTCATGAAATGATATCTCATGTCCAAAGTTCTCTGGATAACTCAATATGGATATGAATACTACCTATGTTCTCGAGAAACGTAGAGACCTGCAAGCGCTTATTGTGTCGTTCACCGAAGGTGCTCGCCTTCTATTCCCCGAGCTACCAGGATTTGATATTGAAGGTTATATGATGGCTCCACGTCACTTTCGCATCGTTGCCCATGCTATGCAAATGCGATAACTAATCTTTTTGCTCTCTTGCTATCAGTTCACATCCATCTACGGAGTACGCAGGTGGGAAACCACCATTTTGAGGTAGACTTGGGCCCAATCCGAGTCTTCATCTTCTTGCCCACATCATCTCTAATCCCAGATTCCGGAAGGAAAATAAATGTCTGTACTTCCACGATTCAGGCGTTGTTCGACTTAACGTATACTACTTTCACAATATTTCCTTCGCTTGAGGCATTTGAGGTCTATTGCGATACACGGGACGGCGAATCTCGAGTCTGGCACGACGTTAATAATGTTGACACAGACACAGAATATGGCTATTGAGTCAGATCGTATGTTGATTGGTTTACGCGGCCGGATTTGAGCTTGTGTGGTTTTCTATGCAGAAAAGCAACTCTGAACCTCGTTTTCAGAAGTTACATCAGGTTGGTTTTCTCGCTTTTACCGCATCGAGAGCAACTCTCAATTCCATTATCATCACCATCATCTCTCACTCTGTTCCTCGGTCACCGATTACCTATTCTCGTGGACACTCTATTCATGCATAATGAACAAAGGGCAAGTGGCAGGGTGCTCAGGTGATGATCGGTGACGCTTAGGTAGTAGCAAAGCAGGATTATCTAGGTAATGAGCAGTTACCTTTGAAAGTCAGGGTACTCAGGTGCACAATTTTACTCGGTCGAGAGACGATAAGAGCAGCACTAGATCAAAAGGAGCAATGTTTCCAGTACTAGACATTATCTGTTACATAAGTACCGTATAAGGCTATGTACAGTGTTCCAATAATAATAGGGGTATATCAGTCTTCAAAAAATAACATGAGCAACGCAAGGAATGCAAAAGGGACTGGAATTCAAAATAGGCCAGAGGCTCCCGCGAAGAAAGAAGGTTGAACGGCGGGATGGGAACCACTGGATGCAAATGCAGATCATCACTCGGTGATCATGGTATCATAGGGAAAGCAGCTGAGGCAGGGTATGTTTGTGAGCAGCACCTGTGCAAGGCTCTGTGGGGGTAACAAGGGAGTAGTGATGGTTGAATTTAGGCATTAGGAAGAGGAGAAGACTTCGAACGAAGACATGTCCAACGTCTTCGAGCTCCATCAGGTGAATTTGAATTCAAGCTGGTTTTTCCCAAGAGCTCCAAGAGCTGGGCCTGCGGATTTCCTTGAGAATCCGATTCCGGCTCTTCATCTTCGGGGATATCCATACGGAACCGACGCACGCTGCCTTCGCGCTCAGTCTTGCCTTCCTCGAAGAACGGGGTGCGCGAGTCGCGGGACTGGAAGCAGCGAGGCGCGACGCGGCGCCAGAGACCCCGGACACCACTGCTCGCACGGTCAATCTTTTCATATTCACGCCGCCGGGTATCTGGTGAGGTCCATTCCATTACTGTCGCCGGGACGTGGATGGACGAGGACGATGGGCTGCGGTGGTGACTGCTGGGTAAGGTGTTTGATCGATCTCTTGGTGTGATGAAGTGGGGTGCGCTCGTCGAGGTTGGTGAAGTGGACTCTATCCCGAAGCGGATGCTGGAATATGAATGTCTGACTGGAGACGACGGTTCCGAGCTGCCTTTCTCTGTTGATATGCGGCTCTCGCGTTGAGGCCTGTACGTAGCTGATGCTGTCCGGTATAGAGAAAGTCTTGTCTCGGTCGAGGGTCTGTTCGATTCATCTTGAAACAGACGACATGACTCCCGGTGTAACGCTATCAGTGACTCGCGCTTATCCTGCATGGAACTGCGAGCTGAGGTGACAGGCACGATGGCGGCGTTGGGCACAGCTCGGCGCGAATGCAAGGAACTGCGGCGGCTGTTTGGTCGCGATCGCACAGTGCTGCGGGATGCCGAGCGGGAGTGACTGATCGAAGTAGATGTCGATGCTCGTGATTCTTGACGACCGAGCTCGTTTCCCGGTGGATCGATCCTTTTCACCTTGGCCATCTCAGATGGGGACTTGGGCGAGTCACATCCCTTGAGCTCTGTGACAGTGGACTCGCACTTAGAAATAGACAGAGATGGCTGCAGGGCCAGGCATGTGACGGAGGTCATTTCCCGTCGGGAAACTTCTGATCATATGCAAATATAGGCAGGTGCCCTGATTGCTCAGATGTATACATGTATCGAGGGGAAGTTCATGTGGATAAGATTAGGGTTAATATATATTTAAAGGAGAACACGACTGCATCTAGAACATAAAAGAGAAGCAAAATGGAACTCGACAAGCGAACCTCTTTCCTTTTATTAATCCAACATGCGCACACCGCTCCTCAACTATTTTAGCGGAGTGGGGGGGCGTCTAAAGATCGTCGCTATGAGGGCGTCTAGCCAGTTACTTGCAGTTACAAATGCAGGGGCTTTATTGCGGGAGAGTATGGGGGAGGGGTAGGCTACGGTTTTTTATAGTCGCAGTGCTAACAATATATATAGATAGTAAGTCTATATAAAGGAAGACAGACTATTCACAACATGGTCGCATTGCTAATCTAGGAACCCTGTTTGCACGATTATAGTATTCGGTCAATAATCGAGGCCATATTAAATATACCAACTGCACTAACTGCACTAGTTAACTGCACTAACTGCCCTAATTAAGGAGAACTACTCCGTACACTAACCTATGATAGACATCGCATCCTGCATGCGTGTTGGGACACCGCCAGACCCCCTAGTTTCAACAAGATCTACAAAAGACGGAGAATAAATAGTATATACTTTGAAGAGAATGCAATAAAAACTTGAAAGCGATTGTCTAGAATCATCTTTGACTTTGTTTAAAGAGAATAAAGGAACTCGGGGTTCTCCCGATCTGTCAAATCAAGGAATCTGCAGCCAAAGTTAGCAGAAGTTGGCAAACGTTAACTAATAAATCACTCACTCTTGGTTCTCTAGTCTCACATATTCTGGGTGAGCAATGAAAAGGATCTTCTTCTGGTTCTCACGACGATACCACATCCAGACCCCGACCAGCAGGAATAAACACACGCCCCAACAGACGATAATGGTCACCTCGGCGGGGACATAGCGGGGAGCGTCCTTCGGGCGGAAGGTTTGTGGACCTGGAAATTGTGTTAGCGTGTGCTCGCCACGTTTTGACCCCTGTCTTCTCCTGATTTTCTTACCGATGATATTTCCAACGCAATATCCAATCAGATACAAAGCAGCCACGGTAGTCTTCTTGGTATATCCCGCGACATTGGAAGAAATCAGCGATAGCAATGCCACGAAAGGGGTCGGACTGGCTTGTGTGAGGTAATAGCCAATCAAACGACCGACATTGTTAGATAGGGGCAGAGCGACAATGAGCAGCATCCCTACGATTGCAGCGACTAACCCACCCAAACTGGCGAGGATGCGCTGCCCGGTGATCTGTCCGACATAGCCGTTGATTAATAGTGCAACGATTTCCACTGCGCCGCCGGGGACACCCAGAATCAGACTCTCCTTCGCGTTATATCCGAAGCTTGTAATCTGGACTGGTCAGCATGCTTGGAATCTTCAGGTCTTTATAAGCTATTATCAACATACCAACTGACTGAAGAAATTGGAAATACCCCCATTTGGAATATCGGCAATCAAGGCATAAAAGAAGAAAGCCCAGGTCATCGGATCCAAAAGCGCCTCCTTGACCTGATATAGCTTGAAGTGCTTATTACCAATGCCTTGTTGGTTGACCCGCACGCGGGCAACAGCCAAGATGCGATCTTCTTCATTTAACCAGCGTGCATTGAGTTGGTTATCTGGCACAATCCAGAGGAATACCAGTCCCAGGCAGATGGTGAGGAGACCAGTGACGAGGAAAATAATCTTCCATGGCTCGATGGCCGACCCGTGTTTCTCGGCACCGACGGCGATGCCGTAGGCGATTACTCCGCCGAGAATTTGGCCGACGCCGTTGAAGCTGAACCAGATGTTGACGCGGCTGCCTTGTTCTTTTTTTGTGTACCACTGTTTGGGACTGTGTTAGCTCGACTCATTGTGTCTAGGTTATAGCCTGTAGGAACAGAGATGGATTTTGTACCTGGGAGGTTAAAAGTGCAAAGCCCGGCGTCACAGCTGCTTCAAATACACCGAGCATAAAGCGAATGGCGATAGCACCGGAGTAATTGTTGACAGCGGCAAAACAGCTGAGAATCATTCCCCAGATCAAGATGCAGGCTGCCGAGTATTTCCCTAGTGGAAGGCGCTGGAGGAGGCGGTTGGTCGGGTATTCCCAGGCGAGATAACCTACGCAGGAGAGCTATTAGGTTTGAAGCTCCCAGGGAAGAGTCAATTCGAGAGCATAGATAGAACATACCAAAGTAGAACAAACTCCCGAGCCACTGATACTGGTCTCCCTCGAGATTCAAATCCTTCTTAAGACCCATAACGCTGGCATAGGAGAGAGTGGTTTCTACACATCAGATCACAGATTAACACTTCGGATTGAATAAACAGCCAACAGAACAAAGCATAAAACCAAGACTGCTCTTTGCTGTAGGAAACAAAATCGAGGAAAGATATGCACATACTATCCAGATAATTCATGCCATAGATAAAGCACATGATGGGCATCATATGCCAATCGATGATTTTTAACAAGCGGCGATTCGTAGCTTCATCCAGCTCGATAGTTTCACCGTGAAGATTGCCAAGGGCTTTCATAGCCTCATCGGCGTCGTGTGCATGCTTCTCTATCGTGGGGTCGACATGTTTTATGTTGCCCATGTCCATGCCGGTGTCCACGCTAGAGGAAATTCCGATAGCTTTTTCCTCTGAGGCCATGGTGTCGGTTCTATGGGGTAGGTCGTAAAGGGACGGGGCAGTAGAGTAATTCAGATCAAGTAGGTCAGACAGACAAATCTTAGGCCCTTCGTGAGTTGACTGTAGTACAACTATAAGCAATACCAAGGCAATGTATAAAAAGATCAAGGAACACCACCGGGCGGGCACAGCTAAATAACATATAACAGAATAACGGTCAAAACTCCGCAGGTCCGATAGCTATACAGGACGATATTAGTACGTAACATTAAATAGGTTAATATACCCTGTACTCCGTGCGCTGTACCTCTGAGCAAAGCCGGGTAGCTCTGCCCAGGCCGTTATCTCAAGAGTCTCCTCGAACGATTCATCCTATCACACAACGCAGCACATGAGGCACGGCAAATAACTTGTGGGCCTCTCCACGATAAGAAGCCGATTTATCTGGGGTTGGCGGTTTGATGATGTGTCTCATTGGATGGCCAAGAGAGGGGAGGGGGATGATCGGCACGGAACTGCCATGGTCTGTTGGCTGCGGCGTTATGGTTATTTATCAATGCAACATAGGGAAGGCAATGCGGATTATTGCGGAGCGAAGTAGACGTTACTTACTTGGTGTGTATATGCGGGGATGCACACACATGTAGTAAGAATACGTCAAGAGAAAGGTCGCTAGTTACAATGTACAATGTATAGATTCCTAGTTCCGAGTGAATTCCGATGAAGTTTAAGCAAAAGTACGTGTTCTTATCTATTGTTCCAAGTGGATTTGGAAAACGTCTCCTTATCAAAGTTACTCCAGAATTCGGATATTCAGAGACTTGCTTTTGATCTTCATCGCAGACGGTGTGAAACATGCTGATGAGCACTCGCATGTCTTAGACTTAACCTTGCCCTTGCATCCTCTGGGCGTGCAGGAAAGCCCTTCCGTAGCCGGAGAGGCTCCAGGGCTCGTGAGCAATGATGTAAGAAAGCATCAAGTTGCAAAAAGGTTATATAGCACGTCATCAAATATAGAATTTTCATTATGTATGTACATACAGTGGAACGTGGACTGCACACTCTATTGCGCACCCACACGGGCCAGATACGCCTCCCAGCCCTGCTGCTGGTACTGTTTAACAGCTTCAACAGGGTCCGCAGCGGCATAGATACCACGACCAGAGATAATGAAGTCGGCACCGCGGCCAATAGCCGATTGCGGTGTCTGGTACTGCTGGCCAAGCTTATCGCCTTTAGACGAGAGGTTGACGCCAGTGGTGAAGACGACAAAGTCCTCGTCCTGCGCGGGCGCCTCCGTAGACTCGACCTCGCCCAGCGACCGGGTCGAGACAAAGCCGAGCACAAAGCTGGGGTACTTGCGCGCGATATCGACAGAGGCGGAGGTGTAGGCGCCTGTTGCGAGGGATCCCTTCGAGGTCATCTCGGCGAGGATGAGGAGGCCGCGCTCAGAGCCGTAGGGGAAATCAGTAGCCTGGGCAGTTTGCGCGAGGGCATCGACTATGCCCTCGCCGGGTAGGATGGAGCAGTTGATTATGTGGGCCCATTCGGAGATACGGAGGGTGCCGTTGTGGTACTGTTTCTGGACAGTGTTGCCGATGTCGATGAATTTGCGGTCTTCGAAGATGAGGAAGTTGTGTTTTTGGGCTAGGGCATTCAGGCCATCGATTGTTGCTTGGCTGAAGTCGGAGAGGATGTCAATGTGTGTTTTTATGACGGCGATGTAGGGACCAAGACCTGTGAATGGGTTAGTAGGCTGTTTCGTCGGAGGGGTGGTGGCTGGGTTTACTTACGGTCGGCGAGGTCCAGGAGCTCCTTTGTTGTGGTCACATCAGCGGAGACGGTAACATTGCTCTTCTTTTCTTCCGCGACTTGGAAAAGCTTGCGTGCGAGGGGATTGGGGTGCGATTGGGCGCGGACGCTATAGGTCAATTGCGACTTGGACGACATGGCGGGGTTGGCGGGGTGGGTTGATATGTATTTGTATGTGATTTTGAGGTTCAAACGATAAGTGAATCAAATTGAAACTGGCTGATAAATGCCTTTAGAATACAATTCTCTTTTTTGAGGTCCGAAAGCAGAATAATAGAAGCGAAGTTCAAGTCGAAGACCTTCGGGGAACTTTTTCTGCCACGGTGGACCCACGGGCCAAACCTTCCCGGAGGCTGGAACTGTGGCGCATAATACGCATTTGACATAGAAATACATAGCACATCTTCGCTTCAAGCGCTTAGAAAGAAAGCAATGGCCATCCAACACCGTAGACACTCAATCCGAAGAGGGCACCCTGCACAAGCCAGAAGAACCCGCCCATCATACGGCCCTTACCCTGCGGTTTGCCCGAGTACACATAGCCGTAGAGGAACAGAGCCCGGAAGAAAACCCACAGAGCGCCCAGACCAGCAGCCCACTCAGGATATTTCAGACCAGAGACCAGGATGAAGAGCATTGTCTGCGAAGAATTCTCGAGGAAGTTGGTGTGGGCGCGTTGAGCGCAGTTGAACTTCTCAGCTTTGGCCTATAACTAGTTAAGTAGGTGCCATAAGAAGTGTATAGGTTCCTATTGGATACGGGCTTGCGGAGGCTGGGTATAGATGGGAATGAGACGCACGTTTTCCTTGCATAGCTCCATGGAGGCATAGCTGTGGGGGTAGGGCACCTTGGCCTCCTTGCGCAGGCTGCCAGTAATATTGCCGTGAACGAAGCCCAACAGAGGGATGGCGCCGAGTGCGACAGCAATCACGGCGCTGAGTATCATTAGCTTCTGTTCAACGAAGCATGAAAGTTAAGCTAGAAGAACCTACCCGTAGTTGCCAGGAACAATGAATGCGACCATGATGAGAAGAGAATTTGGGGAAATGATGCGATATGGTGGCTCTCCGTTATGATTGTGTTTGATTGATTACATGTATGGAGCTCCTTTATACTTAATTGGAGGCTCGGGGGTAACAAGCTCCGAGCTCCCGTCGGTGGAATCAATTTGTCCGTTCCGCCCAGTCATCTACTCCGTAACTATGGATGAATGATGGATACGAGTGAGATCTCGCCGGCCTACGGCCGTCGAGATAGCCGTTGCAAAGCAAAGCGACTGATTCCAACTTCTAGTGCTGCGCAAGGCTCCCCTCTTACTGACTTATTGGCTTCACAGCGACTGCTTTTGTCATAATTCTAGGAGAAAACTTGGCCACGTGACACGTACGTACGTACGTACGACCTTCTGATTTATAATTGCTTCGCTTCGCTCCGCAATCATTGATGGGTAATCATTGATGACCTCCCTATTGGTTGATCATGCAATTCATAGCAATGAGAGGGCAAATAACCAATCTCATGTTCTTGTGCAAGGGAAGCTTGTCTAGCTTTCACAAATAAATGTTCAAAGACTGCTATAAGTTCCGACTCCCAGTATATATCAGGAGTAATACGATACACAAAATGTCCGCTAAATGCTGGATGTCAAAGTTCATGTTCCCACGTTCGATACCATCCTACTTACACTCCCGTACTTGGCTTGCCAAGCGAAGAAGTATAGGAGCGCTCCCAGCGGTTGTCCGACTAGACAAAAGCTGACCCAAAAGATGCAGTTCCCAATGACCCTGCCTTCAGGCCCGCGCATATTTTCCAATGGTGCGGTGAGGCTAATCAACGGCAGCTGGAACATCATCCCAAAGAACGCGACACCTGGACTTGATTAGCCCCTAAGCTGTGGCTAGAGAGTGAAAGACATAACATACCGATGAAATTGTGTGTCGGAATGCCCACGAGCATTTCGTGAAGAATCGCGGAGATAGTGAAAACCATTCCACTCGCAGCTAGAGGACTCCATCCGCGACCCACCAGTGGCGAGTAGACATGTCTCTTCATGAACAGGTAGACAGGCCGGTTCCAAGATCGCCAATACATACCCAGACTAGAGCTGTTCCACCAATCAGTGTAGAATTCGCGGTCACCAAACCGCATGACCTCGGCCAAAGCGTTCAAAAGCGATTGGAACAATGCAAAGAAGCCAGCAAGCCAAATTATCAGCGAGATAGTGGATAGTTTCATGACCCGCTCCAAGATAGAGGCAATATCCATTACTGCGATCTTGTCAATTGAGTTGAGCAACACCGGTGTGGCATACTGCGCAGACAGAAGCCAAATGAACACTGCCAGGCCCACGAACTCCGCAAGGCGCTTTGCAACAAATGACCACCGGATGGATGCTGTGCGCGGATAAACAGGCTGATACACCAGCGTCGGCGCCAGCCAAAAGTACGCCAGGTTATTGATGGTAATATTCCTAGGGTAAGGGCACGAGGAGTAGATTTCGGGCAAGCCCGGGTCTGCGGAGGGATTGAGTAGAGCGAGGCGAAGGTCTCGGTTTGTGAAGGCATAAGAGCAGTTCTTCAACCACACGATGATCGCGTGCAGCTCGCATATTGTCCCAATGCCTGGGTGGTGGATGTAAAAATACACCACAAAGCTAGTCACTGTGAGGCACAGGGTGGCATTGAGCGTGTGCAGGAAAGCAGTGTACGGCCAGGTCGACTGGAAGACCTTCTGATCGTGCTCTTTCTCTTTCTCTGTCTTTTTCTGACGGCCCACTGTTCGCTTAGCCGCAGTAGCGGCTGAGAGCTCGATGATGTATGCCACAAGCAAATGACACGGAACCGAGGCAAACAATATAGACCCCAGAACAACGTCTTGCCTGCGGTAGTCGTGGCATTTAATACAAATTAGCACGCCATACTGAATACTTATTAGCTGGCAATTCGACACAGTGAGCATTTGGATTACCCACTTTCATGAAGTTCTCAATAACCAATCGCAGGTTCATTGCCACTGTCGAAACATTAGCCGTTTCCATATACAATTCCCTCGCGATCCTTACCGAGTACCAACACCATAAGATTTCGAAAACCTAGGAAGTTGGGAAGCACGTCGGCCTCCCGACTGAGGCTGGAATGACGAGCTTCTGAGTGGTATGCAGCTACATGGCGATATTTACTTCGTTTCCTTGTAGTTGATGTTGATGGCGGAGAGACCTCGGTTTCATTCTGAATAGCCCCGTTCGTCGAATTGAGCTGCGATTCCTCGCGAGCGCTTTTAACTGACCCAGTGCGAGTAGCCATTTTAACAGCTCTGCGATCTCGGTACTGTGAGAGATTGAAGGGTCTTCAAGTCGAGCTCCGATTAAACCGGAGCACCGACGGAGAGCAATGCGGAGATTACAACAACAACCAGGCCGCACAATTACGGCAAATAGGAAAAGAAGAAAAGGAGAAGAAGGAGAAGACAAAAGACAGAAATTAGAAATAAGATGATTTAATACTGGGCATGGCGGGGGACGAGACATCATAGCGCAAGCTTGCAGATAAAACTTGCAGGGGCCAATCAGCGTCACATGCGCTCAAGGGACGGATCCTGCACTCCGAAGAGCTTCGACTCTCTCCGCATCTATTGCTCTTTTTAGCCCTGAACCGGTCCGATTCAGTATTCGATCAGTATTTTAAACTCCAATTGCCTGCGATCCTCATGTTTGCGAATCGACAGCCTTGATCCCGTACAACTTTTCGACCGGTCGCGATGGCCTACTACGAGGACAATGGAGGTGACGGCCCAGGGCGGTTTGGCAAGAATTTCGACGGTCCAGTCGGACCTCGTAGACCACGTATGTTTGCTTGCTTTAAGGTTACTTTGACTGAGCTTCTGCTTGTTCATATCCCGACTGACAACCGTTACTCTTACCCTCAGGTCTCGTCACGGATTATGGCTCTTCGATGGTACAATGGATGCGAACACGGCAACCGAGATACAAAGGAGGACATCGATTGGAGACGGAACGACCGAGTCCCAGCTTCGCGGTCGATGTATGTGTTGCTTGATCTGTTCTGGTCTGGCGAGCAAAGAAACTGACATGCGACAGGTTCTTCCCCCGATGGCGCGGCCCTATTCTGCTGTCGATACAATCCCCGTCCGACACCTTCACCAGTCAATCGGAAAATCAAAGAAGCCCATTGTCGTGGTGCGATGGACTCCAGAGGGAAGGCGGCTGTTGACCGGCGGTCATACGGGAGAGTTTATGCTTTGGAATGGAACGGCGTTCAATTTCGAGACCGTTATGGATGTGCGTATCTACAGCTTTTGCGGATTGCGCCCTCACTAATCTGAGATGTTGTCTCCGGTGCAGGCACACTACGATCAAATACAAGCTGGTGTCACGTCCTTGGCATGGGCCCATAGTCAGGACTGGCTAGTCTCTGGGGGACAAAGAGGTGATATCAAATACTGGCGACCTAACTTCAACAACGTGGAGACTATCGATGACGCGCACCACGATGCAGTCCGCGATCTGGCCTGGGCACCCAGTGATACCAAATTCCTTTCAGCGTCAGATGATACAACCCTCAAAATCTTTGACTTTGCAACCCGAACGGCCGACGCGACACTGACCGGACACAACTGGGATGTCAAGTCTTGCGACTGGCACCCGACCAAGGGTCTAATTGTTTCTGGATCGAAGGACCACCAGGTCAAGTTCTGGGATCCGCGCACTGGCCGCTGCTTAACGACACTCCACAGCCACAAGAACACCGTCACATCGACGCGATTCTCGCGTGTGAACAGTAACCTCCTTGCTACTTCGTCGCGAGACCAGACTGCGAGGGTATTCGATTTGAGGATGATGCGTGATATTTGCATTCTGCGAGGCCATGACAAGCCAGTTTCTTCTCTCACATGGCATCCGATTCACAGTAACCTTATCTCGACTGGTGCCGAGGATGGTTCTCTCTATCATTATCTACTTGATGAGCCACACCTGCCGGCTGGCCAGATTCCCACCGTGGCGCCGTACGACAGCCCGGACCCGGCGAATACTCCGCCGCAAGTGATCTATCCGGCACATCGGGTACAGTATGCGCATGGTGCTACAATTTGGTCGCTAGATTGGCATCCACTGGGTCATATATTGGCTTCTGGGTCTAAGGATAATTTCACTCGATTCTGGTCGCGGACTCGGCCTGGCGAGACTAGCTATATGAAAGACCGATTCCACATCGGCGAAGAGGCCGCAGAAGCCCAGGGAACATGGAATCGCGGGTTTGGCCGGAAACAAATGCGCGAGGACGAGGAGCAAGAAATGCAGGATGAAGCCGACGGGCTCGTCGATCAACGACCAGGTGGCCCTGCTCTGCCGGGTATTCAAAGTGCGCCGTCGGCCGTCCCTCAGCCCGATCTTCCAGGGTTGCTACCTGGTATTGGCAGTGCTCAGCCTCGGCAGCCAGGAACGGATGGCGGCGCTATGGGTGGGATGGATCCGGGCCGTTTGGCTGCACTCATGTCCACTCACCCTCCATCGCAGTCGAGTACCCCCACACCTGGAATGCATGGGTTCCCCATGCCGCAGGGTATAATCGGAACACAGCCGATGAATATGGATCTAGCACAATTACAAAAGCAACTCCAGGGTTTCCCTATGCCACAGAATCTCAACCTTCAAGCTTTGGCAAACAACCCTGGCTTCCCTGGTGGATTTGGTGGCCTGCCTGGTTTGCAAGGCGGTGGTATGCCCGATGGAAATCGGAGACAGTGATGAAAATGGACATCTGATTTGAAATGCACGTTGAATCGGCTTGGCATTGGCGCAAAGGACATAGCATGGCTACTTTGATGCGGGGTGACGGCGTTATTTAAGATATCAAACACCATTTGTATCATAGGAAATTTTCGGGCATTTCGAAGTCTCCTGGATCCTTGTTGATGAGACTGTTTGCGTAGGTCTAGGTTGGCTGGGCATAAACCTGTAGCTGCCGTCCACGTAGGTAGACACGGTAGACAATTGTTATATCCGGCACATCCGGCACAGTAGTATGGTCGAGTAGTAGCAGCCGGTATACCATTCAAAGGCCACCTTGCATAGGGAAGCTGGTGACAATAAGAACCATCACATTGACACCGCCCCATATCATCGGTAGCCAAGTTGACATCCTGAAATTGCCTGCCTCATACACCGCGCCGAGGCTATCCACCGTAGAAGCGTTAGCTACCTAATCATTCGGGAGGCCAAGTGTCAAGCAACCAACTTACACAACTCCAATTATACTCCCGGCTAGAAGCGACTCAAGCGCTGCAATAAAGATGTACACCAACGGCACAATCCATATCACATTCCAGTTACGGAAATGGGTCAGTACTGCGCACCCAGCAACAGTGAGATGTGTCGCTCCGTAGAATATCAGCGTCCAGAAAAGTGTGAAGCGCCAGATGTCCTTCGTGTAGTATAGGTAGTATGCTTGATGATGATGCGCCGGCAGGGGATCGTACAATGACGGAAAGGAAGGCACTTCGTAGTTAATCGGGACGCGATTGTTGGCCATGGAGAAATAGCTGCGCCGTTTCAGCAATCAATCATCAAAGCATGACACGTGAGCAGGGGACAGTCACTTTGACCATATGTGTTGCTAGCGTATCAACAAAAACCGCATGTCTAAGAGACTCTCGGAGATGACGATGCTTGTTTGCACTGTTTAGCTCCATATCATTGGTCAGCCTTTCGTGGTGGATGCCCCCCGTATTTAGCTCTGGACCCGGACCTCGGCTTCATCTCACCCATTGAGAGATGTAGAGACTCTTGTCTGGGAGCATCCCTATCACCTCCAGTGTTGAAATGGCCACGGAAAGATCATTAGCTACGCTGCTACGGTCGCTGCAGGCGACTTCCAGCTTCCAAGATGCCGCTTCGTAAGAGCCAAATACCCCAATGAGGTCAATATTAGACTAACAACAGGCCAATTCTCAGTCTGCTTCCCACGGCTACCAGTTTCCTTTCAATGTTAGGGAATCCTCTAAACCTGACACTCCTTTCCTCACAACTCCTCACTGCACCTTCGCTCTGGAGCCACCCCGTCGACCTCCAATCATGTCGCAAGATCCTTAGCGTCTTCAATACCGCCGCCATCGCCGTCTTGCAGAATGATACTACTGACGAACCCCGGATTCCGTACGGGCGGAATAGAAAGATAGAGTACGAGGCGTGGGTTAAGGCGGTCGCTGAGGGCGCCGATGATAAGTCCCCGCGGTGGAGGCATACGCTGCTGCTGGGCGGAATCTTGATGGGATTCGAGGGACAAAACCGACGGGGCTTACCACGACATATTCGGGTGAAACTCGAGATGGCGCTTGTGAGAGCGGCGCAATTAGCGCTGGAGGAGCTTGGTTCTGAGACTGGGATTGATGGACAGTGCCTCACTATGGTCTTGAACTACACTTTTGAGCTGCTGTCAGATTCCGAGAGAAGCACGCTGGATTATGATCGTTTGCTCCCGGCGATGATTCAGTCATCATACTTGTCTTCGGAGGGCCTCGACGGTGGCTATTTTCTGGGATCTATTGATCAGGATGTTGTTGAGGCCTCCGGGAAGCAGTTTCGCTGGTCGGCCAACTCTCCCACATTTGCTATTATCTCGGCAGTAGCTGCTCGCCCGCTTGTGTCCACTCTGGGGCCTTTGTCTCGTCTTATCGCGCATTCTGTTGATAATGTCCGGGATCCGCGAATTGTTGCGCAGACTGTTGATTACCTAGCGGGTTTTGTTCGGACACTCATGGTTCAATGGCGGCAGAATAAATTGTCTGAGATTGATGTTGCGGAAGAAGCAGAGTTCCTAGACTCTGAATCCCGGGACATTACGCTTCCTGCCCTCTGGAAGCTGTTGCGAAATTGCTTATATTCGGTGGTTATCACACTTCGGGCTGTACTGGGGAGAACTATCAATGATCCAGCTCTTGCCGCCAACAGTAGTGAGTTACAGACGAGTCGTGTCATTTTTTTTTTTTACTAACTATGCTCCTGTCAGGCGCCCCGTACCTATCGATGCAATGTCTCCACATACTTCGCAACATGTATTTCATCTCTTCTCGGATTGGCCAGAATGCCTCATCGCAGCAGACGTTCGTTATGTTGGCAGCCATAGATATCCTCTCCCAATATCCCACTCTTGCCGAGAACTTCCTGAGAAGCATTAAGCCAAGCGATATAGGACAAATTCCTGCTCACCCAATTGAACGATGTCTGGATCTTTTCTTCTTGAATGTGGCAGAGCATTTCCCTCTTGTCCTATCCCCAGGGACGAACGAGGAACTGTTACTATCCGCCGCTTTTCCATATCTCGCAGCCGGTGCTAACAGTCTTCTGTTGGAGATTTTCGAAGCTGCTCACAGCCTAGTGCTTGTTGTCTTCGCTATTCCCCACAACTCGGGATTAGCTGCCAAACACTTGCCTTTTTATATAGAAAACCTTTTCGCTGTGAGTTTCATCCTGGCTATTATACGAAAGTAGTTGCTAATCGTCCACAGGTTTTCCCTACTAACCTTTCTGCGCGCCAATTCCGCCTTGCGTTCAAGACTGTCATCCAAATTACAGCACCTCCTTCTCCTCTGGCGAATAGCCAACCCGCTCTCCCTTCAATCTTGCTGGAAGTTGTTCACGATCGTGCTTTGAACGCTTCCTCTACACCGATCCCTGCGCAGGGCCCAAATCCAGACATGAGCCTGAGTCCGGCCGTCTCTGAGCAGGCTGTTCTGACCCTTGCTCTCATCGATTCTCTTCCATTCCTCCTAGTCGATGATCTGAAAGAATGGTTGCCTTTAGCAGCACAATTGATCAACACAATTACCGACCGCGATATGCGACATGCTTGTATCGATCGTTTCTGGGAGGCTATAGCCGGCGGCGAGATGGATGTTGATCGATCTTACTGCTGTATTACATGGTGGAGCACTGAAGGTGGGCGCGAGCTTGTCCTTTTCGGCGCCGAGACCGCCCCGGGGGAGTCTGATGATACTGGACCTTACATGAGTGGCGCGGTTGGAGGTGTCGCGCCTGAAAGTAAGCTATAATGATGTCACTTTAGATAGCTTGCAATATTGAAGCTACGGCTCCAACGGGTGCGGTAACACCTTATACCATACACCATACTTCTAATCGATCAAGTCTAGTTCTGAACATTTTCATATATACTAATATTAGTGTGTTCTTGGTATTTATTCGACTCATCATCTTTGAAAATGTAACGTTCAGCAACTAAATTCCCGGGATCCCAACCGGGGTAGCCTTTCTGTACTGAACATACTCGTCGCCAAAGAAGGAGATCAAGTAAGCTTCTTCTCCTGCAATCACGTAAATCAGTTAGCAAGAGGTCCAATGCGCAAAAACCGACAGACAACTTACGCTTGATCCGGCTCGAGAAGAACTGCCACAACACGAGGGCATATCCAACAAAACAAACCATATTCCCTAGTATCAACTGTGTTCCCAGACCCCACCAGAAGAATCCAAAGTAGCTCGGATGCCGCAGATACCGATAAAGCCCAGTATTAACCAAAACATGACCCTCCTGGTGCTGACTCTGCACATGATGATTGAAGTTACTAGCAGCCTGCGCCATAGCAATAGTCCGAACAATCTGTCCGATCAATAGAAGCGCAAAGCCTGCGACAAGCAGAAGCGAGACCGAGCTTCCGAAAAACGGTTCCGTCACAGTGACCATCCGCCCAGCAGCAGTCTGCCCGGGCCAGAAAACATGCGACACGATGCACTCCACGATGGCAGATCCGTGCGCAACATTATACGCCCATCCGTTAGATGACAGCAGGAACGCGGAGATAGTCGCATACCGCGTGTTGTATTGCGCCGTCACGTAGAACTCCAGGAAGTGGAACAGGCTCAGTGAGGCGACGAAGAACGGCACGCGCCACAGTGAACTTGGATACACGGTACTTAGGAACAATGCCATGCTTGCTGATAGCCCGAGGCTGGTGCCGAGGAGCATTGCGCGCAGCGAAATTCCCGCCAGAGACATCTTGCCGTCCGGGTAGATTGAGGTATCGGCATCGGGCGTGTCGGTTGAGGCATCGGAGGAAGAAGGGAAGGATATATTGCTGTTGGTGCGGTCGTGGACTGGAGGTCCGGGTGGTGAGATGTGTTTCGAAGTGTGGGTGAAGTTCAGGGCTTTGTTTGGCTCTGCGCCGGAGCTTGTTGCGAGCATTGTCAAAGAAATAGAGAATTGCTTGGGAAGAAAGGGGCTGCTTCTTGATGTGTTTATTTGGTTCGAAAATCGGGCATTTCGAGGGAATTAGTGGAATTTAAATAGTGTGTGTTGGTGAGGGGGGAGTTTCATTGTCTGAGAACAATCTCAAGAAGATTGTATTGTTTCGCATCGGCACCCGCGGACTTTTTCCCCCGACATGACGGTGGACATTTCACCCCGGGCCCACATGGCCTCGGCTTTAGAGCTCTAATACCTCAATGTAGCTTGAATTACAAGCTAGTGCCTAGCTTCGCTCTTTCTCCTCTCTTCGAGATAGCTATGACCATCACAACCATGTCAGAGCCTGCCGAGAAAGAGAAGATGCTTCGCGGCGAGCTCTTTCGCGCCTTCACACCGGACTTAATCGCTGCCCGTGCGCGCTGCAAGTGGGCCTGTAATCGGTTCAATAAGTCGGACGAGGTGCCTCGTCGGCGTCTTGTTGAAATGTGGAGAGAGTGGGTGATGCGGTCAAGCTGAGGCTTAGGTCTACTTCATCCTAGAAGTATACTATTTATACTAAACCATTATATAGTATCGCCGACGACCAGACCCCTCTGCCACCAAAGCTAGATGACCCCGCAGCTGATGAAGCTCTCTTCGCGCAGGACCCCTGGATCGAATCTCCGGTCCATGTGGACTACGGGTTTAATGTCAAGCTTGGAGCGGGCGTCTTCGTCAACTTTAACTGCGTCTTTATTGACACATGTCCCATCACGGTTGGGGCTCGCACTTTGTTTGGCCCCAATGTGAGCTTGTTCTCGGGGACTCATCCGCTTGACCCTGCCCTGCGCAATGGCACTGAAGGCCCTGAGACTGGCAAGCCGATTGTTATCGGAGAGGACTGCTGGCTCGGCGGGAATGTGACTGTACTTCCTGGCATCACTATTGGCAGAGGTGTGACAATTGGAGCTGGCAGTGTTGTTACCAAGGTATGTTGAATGCACCTTCTGATAGCCTGATTGTATAATCATGCTGACTTTAGCACCAGGATATTCCCGCTTTTCATGTGGCTGCTGGTAACCCAGCTAGGATCATTCGTCGGATTGAAACGACAATGAAAGAGTGATTGACCCTGTGTTATTCATTGACTGGTAGATAGTATAGAGATATATATGACTTTCTGGCTACTTGCATCTATCGAATATCAAAGGGATCAAACTGCGTCTAGATTACATGGACGTCATGCACGCCTAGTTCAGACAGCGATATAGATAATGATAATTAACTAGAATGACTCTCCAAAACCTTTGACAAATTGGGTAGGATTCATTATACCACGATAGACGCCAAGAGTCCAGACTCGATGCATAAGGCCGCATAAGGGGCTGTGCATCTTTGGTGCTTTATATCGGTTTTTATATAGCTGGAATAAGAGTGTAGATAGGCAGTCACATTTGCTACAAACTGCACAGTAATCGAATTATTTCCCTCTTCTTTCTATGCAAACTGCAATAAGCAATGTACCATGCAAATACGCGATAATCAATCTCCAGGAGCTTGGTTGTGTCTTTGTTAAGAGAGACCATCTTGTGAACGCTCTCCACAGAACAACGTCACTGGTCCTGGCGCGTCCCCCAGAAAAGCTGTCGACCGCTTTATCTTTTCTAAAGACCTTTACTTTTCTCCCACTCAATCCTTTTCTTAAACTCACAACCTTCTTTTTCTTCAACCTTCATTCTCGCATCACCTTCATTTCACGCGTTGTTTCAACTACCCTGGGACCACTACGTGCGGAAAATGACATGGCTGTACCCCCGCCAGATAGCTCTTACACCCCACCTCACACTCCCTTGATCGAAGAATCTCCATTCATCAGTGACTCTATGGACGATCTTGATCCTCAGGCGACCCGGAAACGTCCGCGTCTCGACAGTGGAAGTCGCGTCAGTCCGACCTTGTCGTTGGATGGAACCTCGCGTACTGCCTCCGTCGCACCTGCCTCCGACATGGATGAGGCCTCGGATTCTGGAAATCCGGTTAACAAAGTCACCATTAACACAAAATCTCCTCTATCTCCCATGGCTCCAGACCTCCCTCCTTCCGACGCTGGGCTCTCCGGCAGCGACCTAGAGCTTCTACCAGATACCGATACAGCTCCCAATCCCAATCCCATTTCACTTTCCTCCTCGCCCTCCTCATCCCGAAGTCCTCAAATCGAAGTCGCTGAACCGGAAGATATCAATCAAGACCCGAATACCTCAAACTGGAAGTCACTGGGCCAAGTGGTGCGGGATCAGGATGAGCCCGAAGTGATAGAAATCCAAGACGTGGCTCCTCTTTCCGACTCGTTCCCTAAAGTACACACTGAGATGACACCCCGAGAGAATTTCAAGGCGCTTGGTGATATGCTTGAATTTGGTAATAAGAGACTCCAATCAACGAGACCTGGGCAAAATACTAATACAGCCAATAGGACACCCACGCGAAGGCACGGCGCTTGTTACAATAAAACAATGGCTTCACACTTGTGTGCACGATCTTGATCGCCTCACAATCGAGGAATTCGCGGCCGATCTAGATTTCTGGGAATACTTGCCCTCCGTCCTGGACCGTCTTTTGCGCAGACAACAAGACTTTCAATTAGATGGAATTGAAGATATCTCGAGCTTCTTCGAGCAATATCTTCTCGATTATGCTCGCATTGTCCTTCATCTTGTTCGCTTGGACACCACACTTCTCCGGGCTGTTGACGAAGATGGCGGTGACATCGAAATGCCTCCAAGCACCTGTCGACGATATCTTCATAGCTTCCCTTGGATATTCCATAGCGACCAAATTCCCTTTTTCCGGGTCCTGGAAAATCAGTTTAGCACCGAAACGCGCAATCTCCCTGCTCGACTAAAAGCTCAGGTCTCAGCTCCTCCGTTTGATGCACCCGGCGCACTCATTCAATACGCTTTGCACCTGCTTGCATTACTTCCGAATTGCCCGCAAATCGTTACCATGCTGTCAGGCCCTTTGGTCAACATGCTAGCGTTGTTTGAATGCGACACGGAGAGGAACCAAAATGGTGATTCTGATTCTCCCGTTGACCTGCCTATCGATTCAACCAGCCTCCAGCCTTTTTACGAAACGGTTCGAGAAATTGACAAAGTATACAACACATTTGTCGCAAAGAAGTCGCAACTGGCCACCAGTGAACTGAGCGATAGTCTCCTGACCCCAATCTTCCGCAGCTACCGTTTCCTTTGCTTTGGTTACTCGGAATTTTTGCTCCAACTTGCCCAGGAATTGTCCATTCAACTACCTGAGGAGGCAGATGCAGAGCAAGCTGCTTTGTGTGTCATTTGGACGTGGAAATTCGATACCTTAAAGAAGCAAATCATGGAAGGTCGAATGGAGCTTCGTGTCCACGGCGTGGAAATGATGCAATCGGATCTGGTCAGCATCTGGGGTCAAAATATATCCCAGAACCGCGATGGCATCGAGTCGCCATTCCTGAAATATTTGGTTGAATATCTTCGGGAGAACAAGATCCTCGATTACCTCGTGGGGATTGACTCACACCCACAGCTGATCAGCCGCAGCAGTAACATATTCGGATTCCTGATTGTGACGGCGAAATACACCGACCATGACACGGATGTTATCTGGAAAACCGTCACCGAGAGTCAAGATGATCGTACTGTTTGTGAGGTCATGTCCATGCTCGCACGGACCTTTGCCATGCATCCGTCGAGGTCTAAAGCGTTGCTCTATGTGTGCTCAAAATTGCTTGAGTTTCCCTTAGACCGCTTCGACAGCCGCATAATCGATTTCTGTGAGCAGCTGGTGCCTCGTATGCGCGAACGGCACTCGGATCGCGATCGGGACTATCGTAACATGTCCGGCGAGGAGCATATCGATTCTATTCCACTAAAGCTCTGTATCCGCCTAATCCGTGAGAGCTCTGGAGCGAAGGACCTGCCTCTGGAACAAAAGGAACTTATGCAGGGATTTGGAAGCGAGCAGCTGGGACAGTTCATCAAGGCTGGACTCAACGAAACCGACATGGCAGAGACATATGAGCGCTGTATTCAAGACATTGCGGAGATGAATGAATGCACTGCGGGCAGTATCCAAGTTTTGAATGCACTAGTACCGCGTGATGACGCACGAGAGCTTTGGAAACTTGCGACCGATTTCGACTTGACGCGCTTAGTGATAATCGAACTTCACCATCTCGTTACCAAAGACTACGCGAAGCTCAAGGATCCGTCTTCAAAGCATGGATTTTCTTCGCGGGTGGAAATCCTGCGGCGTCTTATTGATCTGGCCCCAGAAACAATCACACCTGATCTCGGGAACACACTCTGGAAGGATATTTTCATGTCCGAGAACCTGGCTGCTGAGGAACGTCAAACGATTTGGAAAATGATGGTTGATCTTACCAACCGTACCACCAAAGAGAACCCGTTTCTTGAACTATGCATTCATGAGTATCTACCAGATGTGCTTCCTAAGGATTACTCGCGCGAGGTATTATGGTTCGCTCAACAGTCGGTTCACTACGAGATTCGAATCAAGTCACCTCCCATTGTTGGGGAAAATGAAGTCATATCTATTCCTGGAATGGATCGAATCTGGAACTTCATACTGACGGCACCTCCGCAATCGATCGAAGCCGAGGCGATTAAATTCGCCATCGATAGCTATCTGGACCACGGTATTGTTCGCAGATCCCCCCGGTCGGCTATCGACGCTACTCATATTGCACTCGTCAATCGCTGCGTGGACCAACTGAAGTCTGCAGCTGTCGCGTTGAAACCTTCTTGCAACGGAACAACCAATGTCGAAGTTTCTATGGATATCGACAGTTCCAATCAAGACGTCGGAACGGACGAACTTATGTTCAGCCGGTCTCTACATTTTCTTCGCCAATTACTGCATGGATTGCGAACTCGCCCACAGTACAGCTCCCCGCGTGGCTCTCCGCCCACCCTCCCGGAACGTCCTCTGAAAGGCGAGCCCATCGAATT